ATCAAGGTGGGAGCATGGCAGCATCCAGGCAGGCATGGTGCAGGAGGAGCTGAGAGTTCTACATCTTCATCTGAAGGCTGCTAGCAGAAGATTGACTTCAGAGCAGCTAGGATGAGGGTCTTAAAGCCCAAGCCCACAGTGGCAAACCTACTCCAACAAGGCCACACCTACTCCAACAGGCCCACACCTCCAAGTAGTGCCACTCCCTAACCTAGGCATACTTAAACCACCACAGGGGGACAGCATGTGCCAAGATCCTGTTGTGGGACAGAAGATATCAGGTTCGATGACAAAGATCCTTGAAAGACTGGCCAATCTGTAATCTGTAACAGATGAGGTTGAGTTGCCTTTAACGTGGCAGGGGTGGACTAAAGTAGGCAGATGTCCAGGAGCTCAGGCCCTGGGAACTGGGCAGGTAGGGCTTCTCTGGGGGAGCTGGAGGGAAAGACAGAGTGTCTCCTGAGACTGAGACACCAGGCTCTGAAGGGCAGAGCATTGCAAGGGCTGTTTCTCCTGTCTCTCCCTCTTCGTGCGTACTCTCATGTGAGTTCAGGCCTTCACCTGAATGCAGCTAGGCCGATGCTTTCTGGTTGGTGCACGTCCATCCTTGGTCAAAGCTGGATTCCTTGATAAAAGGCAGTTTCTGTTTTGAGATGTGTTTCAGTTTCGTTTCTGCTGCCGGGATAAAATACCCTGGCAATAAGTAAGTCATGAGTCCTGGGGAGATGGCTCAGTGGTTAAGAACACCGGCTGTCCTTCTAGAGGACCCTTCTCGATTCCCAGCATCCATAGAGATGTCCACAACCATCTGTATGTAATTCCAATCCCAAGGGATGCAGTACCACCTGCTGGCCCCCACAGGCACCACACACACGGTGCTCAAACATGCATGTAGGGAAAGCATAAAATACACATAAAATAAAAATAAAGGAAAAAAATTGAGCAACTTTGAGAGAAGGGAACTTGGTTTAGTTCACGATTCCAGATCGTAGTCCATCACTGTGGATAAGTCACAGCAGCAGGAGCCTGAGATAGCTCGTCCCATCGCAGCCACAGCCAAGCAGAAGGAAATGAACGCTTATATGCTTGCTTGTTCTGGCATGATTGTGCACCGCTTGATTTCTCTTTGCTTATGCAGTTCAGAAGCCCCGGCTTAAGGAATGATACTGCCCATAGTGGGCTGGCTCTCCCACACCAATTAATTAAGCCAAACCTCTGCAGAGATGCCCACAGCCAACCCAATGTAGGCGGTCCTGTACTGACTCCCTCCTCCCAGGTGACTCTAGGTTGTGTCAAGTTGACAGCTAGAACTAACCGTTGCAGTGGGACTGGGCAAGAAGCACTGGCTGTAAACTCCTAGCCAGCTCCCTATGGTGTGGGCCATCTTTTGAGCAGTGATGGGTGCTGCTTCTGGAACATATCACCCCTGTTCCTAGCACCCTTGTGCAACTTCTGAGAAGTAGTCGGGGACCGCCCCTCATTTTCCACACCGCCTCAAATTCGGGGTCAACTCCAGATGTTTCTGCTCATATAAAAAAAAAATCCTCCCTAAAATCAGTTTGTGAAATTCCTTTGTCTTCGATTTTTTTGAGACAGGATCTTATGGAGCCCAGAATGGCCTTCATCCTCCTGGGATCCTCCTGGCTCTGAGTGCTGGAATTACAGGCATGTGTCACCACGCCCGACTTAGTTTTTGTAAAACTCTTCACCCCCTGGCTCATGTTCACTTTTCCATCTGTGGTTTTTATCGTATTTGCCAGTGTGCTCTCCAGGATATTATAAATATTGATATTTTAAGTGGAACCACGACATCACTTTTAAATCTATCCCATGGAACCTAAACACCCTAACCAGTCAATACCCACCCATTACTCATTTAAAGCACAGACAGACAGACAGACACATACACACACACACACACACACACACACACACACACATACAGACACATGTACTGTGTCTTCCGTTATTCCTTGAAACTTTATATTTCATGTCCCCCAGGAATTCTATATGTAGTATATTTTTAGGTGTAATGCTTTTTCGTTTGAGTTCCCGTCCTATTTGTCTGTAACAATTTTATATAAACTTGACACTGTTCAGCTTCGGAATCATGAAACTGTACTAAACTTTCTTCTGGCTTGAGTTCTGTAATTCTAATAGTGCACAATTGGTCAGACCACAGGTAAATAATAAACAGAAAAAAGTAAAATTATATTGAAAATGTACCTCAGGACAGTGGTACTGAATAACTTTTTAAAAATAAACTCACTGGGCCGCCATGTTGCTCAGTTAATAGTTTGCTTCACCTGCATCCGGCCCTGGGTTTGATCCCCAGCACTGTATAAAGCTGGGGTCCCCATTCCTGCAATCCCAGCGGTTAGGAAATAGAATCGAGAGAGTCAGGAGCTAAAGGTAATCCTCAGCTACACAAGTTCAAGGCCAGCTCGGGCTACATGAAACCGTGGGGAGACAGCTCACTGGTTAAGAGCCATTTCTGTTCTCCATGAAAATTAGCTCAGTTCCCAGCACCCATAGTCAGGGAATGATAACATCCAGTTCCTCCAGCCCCAGGGGATCTGCCACCTTCTGGCCTCCATAAACATATTCATAAACACACATGCAGATATAAAGAAATAATTTAAAAATAATCTAAGAAGATGATGTATTGCTATTGCTAGTATGCAAGCGGAACGGCCTTTTCCATCTATCCAGATATGAGCACAGGAAACCATTGTTCATTCTTGATAGGAAGAACACAGCGTTTTATCTTAAGGAAAAATAAAAACCAGGGAAACCTCAGAACTGGAAAGAAGGTTCCATGATCAAGAGCACTTGCAGGTCTTCCAGGGGATACAGGTTCAGTTCCCAGCACCCACATCAGGTGGCTCAAAAGCATCTGTATCTCCTGCTCCAGGGGACCCAGTGCTCCCTGGCCTCAGCAGGCACTGCACACATATGAACTTACACACTTCACACACACACACACAAATTTAAGAATGAGTGATTAAATCTTTAAAAAAAAAAAAAACCTCGTTGATGTTTAGTGTGTATGGTGCCAGGAATCCAGCCTCATTGTCATTGCAAATGTGACCACTGAGCCGCTCTGTTAAATATACACACTCTTAAAGCAAGATCACTCAGATCTGCTGCTAAATTCTACACCAAGAATCACATCTTGATCCCTCACCCCAAATTGGCATTTGATTCCTTACATTAGAACTTCCTTTTACATTTTATTTCTCTATTAGTGTTTGAGTGTGTTTGGGAATGAGTGTGTATACCATGTCGTTGGCGTCAGGGTCAAAAGACAACTTCCAACAGCTGTAGAACTTTGGGGGCTTGTTTTTTTTTTCTTTTCTTTTTCTTTCTTTCTTTTCTTTCTTTTTTTTGGTGTTGTTTGTTTGTTCGTTTTGTTTGTTTTGTTTTTCAAGACAGGGTTTCTCTGTATAGCCCTGGCTGTCCTGGAACTCACTCTGTAGACCAGGCTGGCTTCGAACTCAGAAATCCGCCTGCCTCTGCCTCCCAAGTGCTGGGATTAAAGGTGTGTGCCACCACCGCCTGGCAAGGGGTTTGTTTTTCAAGATTTATTTTTGTTATATGTGTTCATGTGTTCAAGTACCCTAAGAAGCTAGAAAAGGGTATAAGATCCCCTGGAAATGGGGTTACAGGAGGTTGTGAATGTCCCGACCTGGGTGCTGGGAAGTGAACTCAGGTCTTCTACACGAACAGGAAGTGTTCTTTAGTCACTGAGCCCCCTCTCCAGCCCCAGAGAACTTGCTGAGAAAGGGATTAGAAACAAGAGGGCCAGTGAGATGTCTCAGCAGGAGCTTGCTGTCAAGTTTAGTGATCCAAGTTCGATTCCCAGAACCCACAGGGTGGAAGGAGGGAGCTGGCTTCCACAAGCTGTCCTCTGACTCCCACATGAGCTATGGCACATGAACACTTGAGCACTTGCGTGTGTATGTACACAATAGATAGATAGATAGATAGATAGATAGATAGATAGATAGATAGATAGATAGATAGATAGATAGACAGATGATAGATAGATGATAGATAGATGATAGATAGATAGATGATAGACAGATGATAGATAGATAGATAGATAGATAGATAGATAGATAGATAGATAGAT